AAAATCTCAGCACTATGAAGTTGTGTGAAGTTTCTCGAAGTGCTACGTATGTAGTTCCTCTGACAAAGTCCTTAGAATTCCTATTAACTTCGCTGCACTCTTGCAAAATTTTCTGAACGTTTTAGGATTTTGTTGATTTTCTGTGATTTTTTTTTTTAAGTTCTTGAATTTTCACGGAATTCCCTGATCTATTTAAAGTTCATTCCAGGGCTCTACATTTTCGAAGCACTAAAATGAACTCGAGTTTTGTTTCTCTCATACAAACGTGTTCAACGCTTCATTTCTATAACGCCTAGCTAGACTATCAGCAAGAAATGATAATGAAAAAGAAGCACGCTTAGAAGGAAACGCTGGCTGTGGATCTTCTCGTCGTTGCTTTGCTCATCGGTTTCAATGTAAGTAATGTCGATTTTCTAGTTAAACGAAACCTCATTATGGCTTTCAATCCCCTTTCACGAACACTCTATCACCGCTCTTTCAATTTGTTTAAAATGCGTTATGTCCCGTTTTCGTTAATTTTTTTTTAGATAAATATGTGGATGGAAGATAAATTAAACATATTACGTGTAATCTTCAAGTGTTTTCACGTGAGAAATGCTTTAAATGTGTTATTTCATTTTCCGTCACATACGTCATGAAACCTCTGTTGATGTGTTTCATGAAAGAGAAAACTATCAAAGTCGAACGCTCTTTCGCTCATCCGTTTCACCGAAGCTTGAAAGGAAGACCAATGGAGCGACGGGAGAAAGAGAGACAAGCGATTGAACATTATTTGTTTGTGCACGCCGACTGAGGTTCTAGAATGCTGCGAAGCTGTTCGACTTTAACAGAAAAAGAAAACCAGCAGTCTCTTCGTCGCATCGATTTGGTCGATTGAAGCTGATATTGTGACGCCCTGGTTCATTCAACTTAATAATTATTAAAGTTTTGCAAATGAAACAAAATGCCCTTAACTACAACCAGGTTTCCCAAACTTTTATGAGGATCCCAATTCGGGTGCACGACGTTAGGCCTAATCTACCCGATGAATTCCAGAAGGATGATAATGGGGACCGTCTATTGATTGCTATCAATATGTGACAATAATGAAAGAGCCTTAATTTTTGGGACTCATGAAAACTTGCGATGTCTTGGACAGGCAAAGTTCGGCAACTCGTCACTGTTCATGGAAGTATCGCCCCCTCACATCAGCAGACGGTTCCGCTAGTTTTCATTCTGATGACAACAAAAACAGAATCGTTGTATCGAGAAGTATGGGAGGAAATCCTGGAAACAGCAGGTATGTTTTTTCAGTGTCGTTCCGTAGCCTCACTTTTTACCTGTGCCCATACTTTCAAAACCAGATTTAATGCCATATTCATACTCGAATCGGTTGAAAGATACACTTAATCTTCTAGTTTACTCGATATCTATCCATTGCAAGCAATATTTTGATAATTGTTTATGTTTTGAGAGTTGGTGCACAGGTAGATTGAGGTTAAGGAAACGCCACGCGGAGCTGTTCTTTGAGGAAAACCTTTTCTTCTTTGACAATTGCAATATGTGTGTAAGAATATATTACAACAAATGTGTGATTTTTTTAAATTCTAGATGCGATTGATTTCAAGATATAGTTCAAAACTATGCGGAGTTTTCTTTGCCAGATTACTTAACCGCTATCGCTACTAATCTTGGATTTAAGTAAATATGTAGCTATGTCACTTATGATATGATAAATAATGGATTCCAAACTATGTTTTAACGTTTAGCCTAATTGAAGCATGCCCCGTAACGTGGGTAGATCACCTCTTCGTGGTACGTTACGGAATGTAAGATCTACCACCGATTCCTAGTCCTGACTACTTCAAACAGTAGGAACAGGATTTTTCAGTAACTAAAGGAACACATCTTAGACTTTCTTACTTTTTCTGACTTGTTGATAGTGACAAGACTCGGCTTTGTCAACCGAGGATGATCTTGAAATAAGGAAAACATGAGTTAGTTAGTCTTCATCTATGTGATTCCTAATCTTCTATTCGTTGTTCCCTAGTTTGAAGTGTTTTAGACTAGGGTTCTGATGCATGGTCATTATCGGTGTCATTCCTTAATTTTGTTGCTAAGGAATCCAATTATGACTGACAAAGGTGCGCGCTTTTGGAGGGTGTTTCAACACTCCGAAGGGTATAAATAGCGGGACCTTTCAATTAGAGTCGGATTCTTGCGGTAAATGCAAGAATGACAACTGTAAAAATCGAAAAATTTATTCATTTCTCAATAGTGATGGAGTAATACGACATGCACTAAACTAAAGACGCGGGATATACTACAATAGATCAAATTACTGGTCGCAGTAGTGTTAGGTCCCGAACATTAAAAAATAATTAATTAAGCATTGTTTACTATGCTCGAAACAGGTTTCTAGATCTGCACAGCAGCAAGGTATTTTAAGCCTAACGTCCATTATGCCTAACGTTCGTATGCCTAATGGGGTACACTCTCCCAATTCATAGACTTCAAAGACCTTTAAGAAGCACCGTAGAACTTATGAAAACTTCGTAGACATTCATTGAACTGCGTTGAAGTTCTGAAAACATTCTAGACATGCAGAAAATCAGTAAATTCAGCTATGTTAATAAAAGGCCACCAACCCACCGACGAACCGACATGAATGACCATAGCAAAGCCATAGCTAAGCCATGAACCCACATGCAAAAGTTATGAATTGGTTCGTGCCTGATCTATTCTGGACAAATTATATTTATCTAGATAAAAAAAATCCTATGGTTTTGACAGTTCAGATCACTGCACATTTAAATCGATTTTCGGACATAAGTCAGAATTAAGTGTCATGTCGGTTTGTCGGTGACCAAACTTTGTAGAAATTCATTAAACTTCAATGAAATACAGTTGAACAAGAAAAACTTCAGATAATACAATTTAGCATGTTTTGTAGAAGTTCTGAGAAAGTTTATAGGAATTCATCAAATATTGTGAAAAAATAGCGAACTTTAAAGGAATTTAGCGAATTTTCTAAAAAATCAGGGACTATGAAGAAGTGTTTGTTTTTTTTTTAACTATCCTTTAATTTCATTTGAGCTGTTTAGAGGACATCCTCGAAATCCATGAAATTCAGGAACACTTCTTTAAGAGAATAAGATCAGAAAAAAATCGAAGAAATTGGGGGTGCTTTGTAGAAATTCGAGAAAACTTCATACAACTTACTACATACCTTATAAAAGTTCGGGAAACTTTGTTCAATTTAAGGGATGTTTGTTTATTTTTAAAGAACTGCATTAAACTTCATTTAGCTTCAGTGTGCTGAAAAGTTGTATGAACTTAACATATCATTTGGAAATTTTGAAGAACTTCACGGCACTTTAAGGAATTGCAGTTAATTTCAAAACAATTGTGAGAACTTGGTAAAATTTAAGCGAATTACATAGAAATTCCAGGAACTTCGTAAAGCTTATAGAAATGCTAAGTTTTTTTTTTTTTAATTTAGCAAAAAATGTAGAAGCTCAGAAAACCTTGTAGAAGTTCAAGGAACTTCATAGAAGCTCAGAGAATATTGTAGAAGTTTATAGCATGCTCTTCAGAACTGCAGGCTTTGAGTTAAAAACTTTATTTTACTCAGATTTTTAGAAAAATTCTTAGAAAAGGTTCAAGGTCATCCCTGAAGTTTGCATGGGGGTGGGGGTTATCTAATATCTTGAAAGAATTGAGAGAACTTGAATTGGAAGAATTGAAAATTACTCTTATGTCCTGCAGTCTTGAATATTTATTTTCGCTCCAGATTCTTTAACATTTCTCCAAGTTTTATTTCATTAGGCATTTCTGCTTAACTTGTAAACACTGTCATGTAAACAGGCATTTCAGCAACCACATGTTCGCGACTCTATTTAGGATGTGATAGTTACAAATATTTTCAAACTAAACCAAACAATTACATTGTATAAGGGCCGATTTCTTCACCTCAGCTTAAATCTTAAACCAGGTTTACCCATTAAGGTAACCTTGGTTTAAGGTGTCCTAATAATTTTGAAAATAAATTGTTTATCAATGCTACCTCACCCATGCAACTATTTTGAAACATTCAGGGGCCTCCCTTAGCTCAGTCTGTAAAGGCGCAGCTCAAAGCAAGACCATGCTGCAGGTGGCTGGGATTAATTCCCGTTCCATTCTAGGAATTTTTAGGGTTTAAAAATTTCTCGACATAGAGTTCCAGTTCCAAAATTGAATTCCCTAATTGTCAGGTCATGGACACCCTATTAAACGTCAAATAGCTGCAAAAATGCATTCGACAACCATAGTATGCTATTCGTAGCTCTGGTAGAAGCTATGTTTTTACAAATTAGGTAGTTGTATCAGCTCATGTTAAGGAACATCATCATGAATCGGAATTTAAAAGCGAAGCCAACAAAAATTGAGAATTTACTCCTTAGACTGGTAAAATCAAAACACTGCGGGACAAAATGCGCATCCCGCATTTCTTCCAAGGACATTTGAACTTTATCTGTATTCTTCCACTATTGAATTTTTAAACTACACAACAGATGATTATGCATCAGATTATGTATTGCCAATAGTTTACATCAATCAAATCGTTCGTTTTCAAATGTAGTGTTCAAAGATACGAGTCGTTTCAACATATTGATTTTGTTGCCAATCTTATAAATTGTTTTGCTTTCATCCAGAAAGTATGTTTAAAACGTATCGTATGGTAGCAGTTTTGTCCACCAGCTCAACTGATGTTTGTCTGGTGGCCTATGATTCACAATGTCCGTCGTCAATGATTTGTTAAATAGCATCAAGTCAAATTCCACACAGTACATAGCCAAATGGCTATTTCTTCAAGCGGCTACTTACAAAACAAACATATATCATAGTTCACGGCACTAGAACGAGTAACCTATTTTCTAAATCTGATTCATGTATCTCTACCCCGAAATCTGCATGAACAATGGGTAGCCACGATAGGTAGATAGATAGTGAAGGAAGGTTCGACGTTCGAAACCACTCACCTTACTTTCTCGGAAAATGACTCTCAGAGCACTTGGTCCGCTTCGCCGATGCGTGTCACCATTATTATCATCAGTGGCAACGGCAATAATAATAGTAGCAGCAGCTGCAGCAGCAATCCTTTTTCCTATTAGAAACTTATTTTCGCTGCTTTCTGCCGTTTCGTTGTCGCCTGTTTTCTGAATCTCCGCTTACTGTTTTCCATGCTCTTCCTGCGACATTTGTGAGCTTTCCATCATGTTTTCGGGTAGTGGCGTTGCTTAATCAAAAAAAAAAAATCGACCCAGACTTAATGTAGCTGGGAAATGGGTGTTCTTCTTCTTGGCTATAGTTATTGGTCGTTCGGCGTACTCCGGTTGAACCGTTGTTAGTTTGTTAAAAAATTTCACTTTAATTATGGGGTTCGAAACTGCAATTCTAGATCGTCCTGCCTGTTCTGAGCTTTTCAAAACAAAGACAACTTCTTGCAGCCATTTCCGTCACCACCGTCGTCACTATCGTATTAAAACTTTACACTTTTCCACACACATATTACACACTAAACAGAGAGAGATTGCTATCGTGTAAGACCTCACACATAACACGAACGGGGACCAGCAAATTTTCCTGCAATGGGAAATCGAAATTTGGCCGATCAGCTTCACTTTTCTTTCAATTTCAGCGAATGGATAAGTAGGCACATCACACACATTATTTCGGGGGAACCTCGCGCGAGCTTCGGAGCCTTCGTCGGTCGCAGATGGATAAGTAACTATCTATACGAGCTGCTGGACGGTGGCCACAATGCGAAAAGAAACGTCAGACACTCGCACTATACAATATCATAACTAACAGCAGCAACAGCATCACCAGGCCAGGCGGAGGTACAGAGAGAGATATAACATCGACATCACAGAGCCATCCATCCGCGATCCATCATCATTCACTCACAGTGTAGTAGACCGTCGAACGAAAGATTTGGGAGTCAGAAAGTGTTGCACTGCCCGTCAGTAGGGTACATTGTTCACCAACACAGGGTTGGCATTTTAGATTGAGACGGACGGATGGAGTTAAGCAGCAAACCACCATGGCATGCATACTAGCACAAATGAACTGTATTTTGCGGAGCAAAACACACGCACACCAGTGCTGGGGAGAAGGCAAAAATGAAAATCGGTGCAGGGTATGTACACACCCATACCTACACATCCCAAAGCCCTATGTTGGTACACTGGAGGAAATTTGTGAGCTACATTTACAAGGCAGATATCGATGATTGTTTGTACTCTCCCTTAACTTGATGAAACTCCTGACCGCTACCTGGGTCATCTAGGTATACATCGATTTTTGAGATAAATTCTGGTCGAGAAAGTCGAACCATCAAGGGATCAATAACTGAGTGTTTTTATATATCTCATCTCAGCCTACCTATGAATTTGATTGAGTCTTGATGAACAATACAATCCTTCCCATAGCACAAATCAGCAAGCCGAGAAAAATGCGTTTCAAAATTGTTTCGTACCATTGCTTCTTGTGTGATGGGACAGCCAGTTTGGCTGATTTCCGAAACATTTCCATTGAAAAACTCATTTTGGACAAAAACACAAAAGGGACCGACTTGCGATGTGCGGCAGAGTAGGTCCTCCAAATTTCCAGATTATATGCCAAGTGCCATCTAGTTTTTAGTTTATGTCATAGTAATGCTCAGGTTTAATCTAGTCTCCGTGTGTTCACATCAACGATATTATTTGTAAAATAGTTCGCTTTACATGCCATTGGGTGAACAGTTATTCCCGTTTCTAATGATACGTATTCATACGAAGGCTACAGATTTAGAATAACATTTAATTTCAGCTATAACGTTGATATCTTGCAGCATGTCCTGAGCGGTTGACTTCTGCCTATAGGTCTCACTTTTATACAACGATTTTCATTAAGCACTTGCTATGGTTATACATATTCAGTCAACGATCATGCCATGTTGAAGATACCGGTTCTAGTCCGATCAGCGAAGTTGAGCAATTTCTGGAGCGATTAGTACTTAGATGGGTGACCGCTTGGGATCGTCAGCAAACCAGAGTCCGATCTAGAAAATCTTTCGGGCTGGAAGTGTCCTCGACTACCCTACGCATAGAGAATCATCGAGCTTTCCACAGAATATACAAATGTATGCATTGGTTGGCATGGGAAGCTCTGCGGAAGTACTTCATCGATGTTGATAGCAAACGTAAGCTCATTTATAAGCGTCAATCAGGATGAAGATTTTTTAACCGCCTATTACTAACTTGCTTCCAATGACAACCAGTCAGCTACGTTGATTTCGTTGACATTAACACATCTGATTTGATGACTTTTAGATGTACAATTACACGACTTTTTCGACATTACTTGATGTGCACAGATTTCAGTGCGATATTACCTACTCCTGTAACTATAATCATGCCTCTAAAAGCATACTTCCCCAAGCGACCTTTTTCATTACCTTCAATTCCACAGTGACCAGTGACCAGAGCCGTTCAATACAAAAAAAAAACATGTTTCGACGATATTAAAAATTCCAATCAAGGCTCCATTTGCCAGGCCGGTAAACAGGCGAAATTTCCTCTTAAAATACGGAAAAGTGAAATGCGTGAGATGAACCATGACCATGCAGCCCCAACAACAGCTGGGTGGTCATTTACTGTGTGTCCTCTCGGGCAACAAATGAACATTGAATTATTCATTACGCCAAATACGAATAATGCACAAAATTTCACCTGCACACTTCTTCCAGTGCACCCAGCAGCAGTAGCAGCAGTGGCACCAGAAAGAAGAAAACAGCAAGCGAATATCAAACAACAATGTGCAAAGACAACAACGAAGAAACAAACGGCAACGAACCAAACTCTCGAAAGGAAGGTAGAGCGAAAGAAAAAAAAAATCTCTCGTTCGTCCAACTTTTCTTTCTTTTCTGTCTCTCTTTGTGGCCACTCTCCTTCCTCCACCCTCCACCAACTATCCCCCGCACACCCCTTTTCAGACCCACTTCTTCGTCGGCCTGGCTGGCTAGCTGCCTACTGCTGGTCGACCACCTTCTACTCGCTCGGCTCTGCCTGCCTTTCCTGAGCTGCTGCTAGCTCTATACGCAACCTGATCATACAAAATCTCATCAAACACGGCCCGATTTATGTGTGATGAACCTTCCTTTTTTCGCTGTTTTCTTTCGCTTCTTCTTATGCCTCCTCCTATACTCCGCCTTTTCGCTGGGGCTCTTGCTACATATTGCACTCACTATTCCTCCACAAAATCAGCGTTTTTCATTTCCCTAATCCAGGGCACCGAAAATTCTCCGAATCCTCTACGGCTGCACTGATGGAAACTGCGAAAATCCTCCTGGACTGCACACCTTCGCCAGAAGAACGAAAAGAAAAAAAAAATCCAACTTCCGCTGTCTGACGACTGGGACTGCTTAGGTACCGTTCCGCAGCTAGGTACTGGCCAGTCCGTCCACACGACACGATTGCACAAGGTTTTCCGCGAAACGAGGACCTGTACTGTGAATCCTTTTGTCGTCGCACTCGACAATCTAGTCCTGATTTCCTTCTCGCAACCGCACTACTTTTTTTTTCTCAATCACTGCACGCAACGAGGAAATTGGATCAAGAATTTTTTGTTTAGCTTTTGCTTCTCGTCTTTTGGCTGCTGCCTCGAGACTGTAAAATCGACTCGCGACTTGGACTTCGACAGTTCGCCCGTCTTCGAAACGCGACGATAGAAGAAAAATCACTCACACATCCACGGAACTCCACAACGATCGACATGAAAAAGAGTGAAAAACGGACCAAGAAGACGGAGTCGAGCTGCATTAAATTTTATGCTTTCGCGGTTCAACTTGTTGTCCATCTCACTCCGGCGAACAGCTATGCTGCGCTGTGTCAGCTGGGTGGCAGAAAGAGAACAACAAACCTTCGATGATTTCGGTTTGGCCTGTTATGGAATATATCTGACGGGTGGTGATGAAATATTTCATTCCAACATAATTTTGTCGCTCAATCACACAGGTCAACTTTTGCTAAGCCGATATTGGATGAACTCACCACCAAGAGAAAATAAATTTTTCATTTATCAAGCTGGACAATGCATTAGGTTCTAAGTAACATTGACAGATTCGCTTCGAGAAAGTCTCTTTGCATCCTCACGGCCATGTTAAGAAATTCTCAGCTCTTTTCAGCACACAGCTCGATGAAATAAGCTATTATCATCTATTATCTAGCTTCTAATACGACTAACACGACATGAAACGGTTCTGTAAATTTGTTGTTCTGTAATTCGGTAAATTTAAACGTAATCTCAGTTTGCACATAGTGTAGTGCTAGAATTTCGACTAGAATGGGGTACGTTAATTGTTTGCTTGGGACCAATAGGCTAGTCAAGTAGTGAGCTTATTTTAAATCGATAGTTTCGTATTGATTGTAGATATTAATGTTTAAAATAAAATAATGTTACATTTATTTCAAACATATTCGTGTTGAATATTTTTGTTTGATTTGACAACTATGTGAACAAAAATATATATGTTTATTTTAAACATGCTTTTTATTTTTCAAACAAAAATATATATTTTGAAATTATTTTAATATTTGAATGAAAAAAAAAATATCTGCAGACAGGGCATTTAAATTCCCGCTATTTTACGGGGTCGATTAAAAGTGGTATGTGAATGGTGACATTTTAGTGCAGGATCTGGGGGCCCGGTGGGTGTCCGGGGGTTTCAGTTCAGTGGAACCAGCGAAGCTTTGTTATGTTTGTGTCGTTTTATCGTTTCTGACGCTGATGCTCATACCGACCTCTTTCTACACGCAGAAAAATTTATCGTTGAAACAAAAATATTTGAGGTAAATTTAAATGTAAACTCAGTTTGTTCTGGCCACAAAAATAAACAAGGTTTATTTCAAACGTATTCCATGTTTGAAGTCATGTAATATTTATGTTCAAAATAAAAATAATTTTACATTTATTTTAAAAATATTCGCTTTAAAATTAAACGTGAATATTTTTGTTTGGTTTGACAACAATGCGAACAAAAATAAATATGTTTATTTTAAACCTGCTTCTTATGTTTGAAAGAAACATACTTAATTTTAAATTATATTAGCAATACCCCGTTCACATTACAGCCTATATCACGTAATATAGGCTGTCTTGCAATGAGCACTCATACATAGGATTTCCATAGAAAACTAGATGTATGAGTGCTCATTGCAAGACAGCGTATATCACATGATATACGCTGTAATGTGAACGGGGTATAAAAGATAAAGCAGAAAAAATGATTTTTTTTTTTCCTCTGTTCGGGACCAAACACTACTGCGACCAGTAAATTGATCTATTGTAGTATATCCCGTGTCCTTAGTTTAGTGCATGTCGTATTACTCCATCACTATTGAGAAATGATGAAGTATTCGATTTTTTACAGTTGCCACTCTTGCATTTATCGCAAGGATCCGACTCTAATTGAAAGGTTGCCAAGAGATGAAAAAACGATCTGCAGGAGGATCCCGAATTCAGTTTGATTGCAATGCTCGTTGCAATGTAGGATTGTAAATGCAGGAATCGGAAGAAGATGAGGATGATGAGATACCGTTGAGTTCGGTAAGGAAGGAGGATGAATGCAGCAATGATTTTAGTAAGAAGTTGATCCAACAAATTAATCAGTGGAGTCAGGATTGTGTGAATATGATAAAGCTTGCTGAAGTTTCGAAGCGAATGGAAAATGAGCGGATGAAGTTGGAGCAATTACGGAAAGAGCAAGAACACAAGGCAGGTGTAAATGAGGAGCATGTTTCGGATCTGTTTGTGGCAGGAGAGATCAAAGACAAAAGCTCGAAGCAAACAGGAAGAAATGACTTTTTCAGAGGGGGGAGGGGCTGGAGGTTCCGGAATAGATTCAAATTTCAAATGTCATTTCGGATTTTCGTTTCCCTAGGTAGGTTTCCGCATCCATGACTTCGGTTTTGTTGCGGGCCGTTTTCAGTTGATTTGCAAAGCTGGGGCAATTTTTTTCCGAATGTAAACAAGAAGGAAAAAATGCAGGGCACGCTAAAAATCGTTTACCCAATCTCTATATTGTTGAAATAAACATATGCTTATGATTTTAATTCAAACATATATATTTTTGATGCAAACATGGTTTTAATTTATATTGAATTATTCATATGTTTATAGAATAAACATTTTTATTTTTGATTTAAATGAACAAAATTCGGTTCCGGTGTCTTAAGTGATGGTGATATGGGGATTGGCATTAGAAACCATGGAGTGACGTTTTAATTGTGGGTTCCTCCGGTTTTGTCCTAAGATGAAGAGGACAATTGGCTTCTTTTTGTCTGTGATGGTTCTTCTTCTCTCGCAGAAACGACCGTGCAAAATCTATTTCATTATGGGCGACGCAGACGACTGTCAAAATACAAGAAAATTGATTCCCTGTTGTAAAAATTCTCGCGTTTCTACGAGGGGGACGACTCTATCTACGATGCAGAAAAGATTGTGTTTTGCTGTGGCTAGCTGCACGCACGCTGAGTAGATAGAAGGAAGATTTATGTCAATTTTGAAGATTTCCTGCAAAAAGATGAAGCACGATGCAAGTAGATGCGAGAAATGAAAGATGATTTTTCGAGGATTGATTCGCTAGGGTGAGATTTTTGAGCATCTAGAATTGAGATTTAGATGTGTCGTCCCCCTCGCGTTTCTATAGGTTCGCCCGACCAATCAGAAAATTGATAGAAAATTGGTTCATAAAAGTCCCCCTATTGTCTCATCTTCCTCTTAGGATTTGTCAAGCTGGAGGTTTATGTCCAACACTTGCCTAGGTGGGTTTCCGGATCCTTTTATTTGATTTCACCCAGGGGGTAAGTCACTCTGTCACATTGTGCTAACACCCAGAGAAACACACGTCGAAACACTTCCAACACCCACAAACACCCTTCCGCCCCATGATAAGCAAATTTTTTAATCAATTCTGGTACCACTGCAAATAATGTTTACATTCGATTGTTATTGTTGTTGTTGTTATTTTTGTTTACAGTTACAACGATTTGACCCCAGATTGGTGCGATTGAGTACGAGGATTATCGGCAAATCTTGATACCCTCGGAAGTGATATACTAATAGATTTTCGGGACACCATAGGATACGAATGGACTCATTGAATAACGCCGAGAAACATGGATACGGTAAGGTTGAATGATAGTTTAACAATGAGGAAACGTAAACAGTTTAGATCTCTGTGCGATACGTATATATAAACAAGCGAATGATACAGCTGATCGTATCAAAGAGAACGCTGCCCAATTGGAGCTGGATAATGAACATTAGGCTTACAACAAAATCGCAAAGCATTTTAGCGAAACGAGGCATTCACCGTGGCCACGAACTGCAGGGTTCTTTGAATCGCTTAGTCCCGGGTCCGTCCTGCTGGACATTGGATGCAGTAATGGTATATACCTGGGGTTGAATCCACAGATCATCGGCTTGGGTTGCGATCGGAGCGATAGATTATTGAAAGTTTACACCGACCGTGGCTTCAATGTGGGCAATGCGACTGCCTAGCGTTTCCTTTAAAAGCGACATGTGTGGATGCTTGCATCTGCATAGTATAAATATTATAGATTCCATTTATAGGAGGAGGAAAATATAGTATTTATACTGGCATCGCTGGAAAGTCGTAGACAAGCGATTGGAGAAATGTGTTGAATAATTCGCCCACGCACAACAATAAACCACCGCGAGATGGAGAGCCGGAGAAGGTGGTTCCGACGCAGGACGCAGTTTCAGCATCAGAATTGGCTGGATTCCTTGGAATTTGCGTGTCGTATAACGGCAGCAGCAGGAAGCGAAGGTAACTTTTCTCAGGTATTACCATGTTTTCGAGGAGAAGGAATTGTCCGAACTGTGTTTGGCGGTGGGAGGGATTAGCGTGGAGGATAGTTACACCAGGGCAATTGGGTTGTTTAACTTCGAAAAATATACTGATTTTTATACATCATCTGATAGAGCTTCGTTTTCTGAGTACAACGATATTTTTATCGATCCCGTAGACATTCATCTCGATTTTTAAATCAAGATTTAAATTTTTGATCATTGACACTAAATCTATTCGTTGACAGCTCGATTCCATACAAAGTCCCACCAAGGGGCGCTAAGATGGTGATTTTTGCTAATGTAGTCGTACTTATTTAAAATAGTTCCAGTGTACCAAAATTGATAAAATTTTGGATTTCGGTTCCATTTTTAATGCAAATAACGAATACGTATTTACCTCAATACCCCTAAACAACCCAATTGGTGTGTTATTTTTAGTATCAGTATCTGGTAGTCCTTCGTCAGCTTGTTGTAGTGAACGATCTTCGGTTCAATCAAGTTGATTAATCCGGGAAGGCTTTGCTCGTTGATATATGAAAATGGGTGCTACGTAGGTGCTACGCAGTTATCAATCAAATAGAATTTGTTGAAAAATGTTACTCACTGGTTGAAATCTCCAGCTTGATCCGTTTATTGGTGGATTCCTTCGTAATAAAGTCCTTCAGAATCGAAATGGTAGAAATGTTGTCGCTCCTGAAGTTCGCTTCCGAATGGCCGTATTCGCAAATCAGTACCGTTCCGATGAAGACGTGACGAAAAACGAGTCGATTCCTTTCGTTTCCATAAATCTTTTCCGGTATTTCTGGGATACAGTTCATCAACCAGTTGTGCGTTTCAGTCAGACTGAAAGCCCCCTTGAGAGAGCACATTCATAGGTCTAGATGCCATCTCGTCTGGGAGGTTCTGAACGATCATATGCGATTCTCGAACTCCTTTTTCACTCCACCGAGAATCTTGTGTCCAACCGTTTGCTGGACGCAATAATATCTGTATATCACGGAACCGAATTTTGTTCACTTAAATCAAAAATATAAATGTTCCTTCTATAACCTGGCACAGACATTAGGTGGCAAAGTGACTCACCCTCTGAATTCTAGTCTTCTAACAAATGGAAATTCTCATGCTTAGAAGAAATTTTAATATATCAGTTCATAAAAACTCAGGAGCTTTTAATATTCAAGCTCTTTCATTTTCAAAATCTTAGACTCAAACAAATGTATGAATCCTAAGAATATTCAAATATTTCACGATCTGAGATTTATATCAATTTGTGATATTTTAAAGATTATATGAAATGATTCTTCAAAGCTATTTTCTAGACTAATCACTTCATTTGAGATTTCCCCCCGTCTATACTTTACTTTGAAACCCTTCTACGCTTTTGCTCAAATTTACCATGTTCAAGAAGCTGCTTGAAATGTGAAGTCAAAATGTAATTTTGTAAAAAAAACTTCAAATTTACATTAATTTTCAAATATATGTCTTAAAAAGTTTTCACATAATATGAAATATATTCAAAATATCTGCGAAATCAAAATGTTTTTAGAGAAATTCAATTGTCTGCAAATATGTCATCCCTTTCGTAAAGTTAATGGACCATTGAGCATTATACCAAATAATTTTATGTCAAACGGGTATAGCTTCTCACCCATACGAAATATTTCACACCTTCGATATGTTTCGCATAGCTTTTTAGCGCACGTTGAAGACGCGCGAGAAACAAACAAATAAACGTCAAATTTTAATGTTATGCGCAATCTTTTGCGTGAGACCTCCATCGTTTACCATCTCATCAAAGGAATCGGAATAATCGCGGAAAATTCGTTGAAATCGATCGGGAAAGGTATCACAAGCATCGCCACCACGAAGTGCCGTTGCTAGGAGTGCGTTCGGGTAAGCAGTTTTGGTGGAATGTCCGACTGCGAGGAATCGCTGGAGAGCAGGCTTGCCAAATTTCGACTCGATAGGGTAAGTGGAAGAAGAACAAAACAAAAATTCGCGCATAATGTCTTTGGGGCTGACCCACACACAAGCATGAACCATGTGCGAAGTGCGTGCTTGATGTCGATAGAAGATGGTGGGGCTTAGTGATTTGTTTTGTTTTTGCAGGAATTGACCAAACAGGACTCAGCAGTCGGAGGGGCACCACAGCAGACAGAAATGGATCGTGGCGCGGGTAGCAGTGGTAGATTCCACGGAGGTAGTGGTCACAGAGGTTCAAGACGCGGAAGAGGAGGATATGGGGTCGATGAAGGGGAACCGTGGAGAGGTGGAAAGAAGTTGCGGCGAGATAAGGTCAAAGAAAGGATGGCCTACGAGAATGGCGAAGGTGGAAGCAATGCCAATAGATTCAAACGGTTTGGTGATGGCAGAGATGATGAGGTGGTTACTGGTGGGGACGAAAGACCGCCACCTGGATTACGCGGAAAAGCATTGGGATTGTTCTATCGCGATAGGCAGACGAGGAAGAAGAAGGAGAACGAAAAGAGGAAGGCAGTGGATATCACCATTCCACAGTGGCAAATCGAGGAGATTCGCAAGCAGCTGAAGCTACCGGATGGACATGAAAATGTGGACTTTTTCAAACATTTCACTCACAACGAGGATATAAACTCGCCGTTTAAGAACGAGTACCTGAGGGTGATCAATAAGAATTTGGAGCAAATACTGAAGGAGGAATCCTTGAAAAATGACGTCCCGATCGATGATATGCAGGCCGAGTGGAAGCGGTTGGTGAATGATAATTTATATGCGGAATGTCTTCAGAAAGATGAGTTGGGTGAGATGAAGAGCTTTCGTGAAAAGCTACCCGCTTTCGGAGCCCGGCAGGAGATTCTACGCATGATTGGCGAACATCAGGTAATTCTGGTGAAAGGTGAAACGGGTAGCGGAAAGACTACGCAGATTCCGCAGTTCATTTTGGATCAGGCGATGATGCAGGGGAAAGGATCTGATTGTCGGATTATTTGCACTCAGCCGAGGAGGATTTCGGCGATTACGCTCTCCGAAAGAGTGGCATCGGAAAGGGGTGAGAAATTAGGGCATTCGGTGGGCTACCGAATCCGGTTGGATTCCCGGAAGCCTCGTAACGACGGAGCCAGCATAACCTTCTGCACGACGGGGATTGTTTTGTCCATCATGCAGAGCGATCCTTGCTTGAAGGATTATTCCCATTTGATTTTGGATGAAATTCACGAACGAGATGTCATAACGGATTTGCTGCTGGGGATTACCAAGATGATTCTTCCGTATAGGAAAGATCTGAAAATCATACTCATGAGCGCCACCTTGACGGCGGAGACCTTTTCCAGTTACTTCGACAACTGTCCAACGGTGCAGATTCCGGGATTGGCTTTCCCCGTGGAAGAATTTTACCTAGAAGACATCGTCACCGAGTTGAACTTCCATCATTTCGAAGGCCAGATTGTGAAGAAGAACTACCGCAATCGAGATCGATTTAACATGCAATTTTACGATATGATCGATCCGTACTTGGGAGAAATACGGAATCGCTACCCCGCCCAGGTGTTGAGTACCATCAGCAATCCTCACAGCGAAACCAACCAAAACGATCTCATCGTGGAGCTTATCTCCTTCATAACGACCACCAAACCGGAAGGAGCGATCCTTGTCTTCCTGCCGAGCTTGGCTCAGATAACGGAAGTAAACAAGCTCCTGTCCAACCACCGTCAGCTGTCGAAGATGTCGACATTGATCTATCCTTTACATTCGAAAGTTCCTCAACTCGATCAGAAAGCGGTCTTCTCTCGACCTAAATCGGGTACACGAAAGATCATCCTCGCAACGAACATTGCCGAAACCTCGATTACAATCGACGACGTGGTGTACGTCATCAACGCCGGTCGACACAAGATCAACATGTACGAGGATGGCATCTCTTCCCTTCGCGATGAGTGGATTTCGATTTCGAACGAAATTCAACGGAAAGGTCGCGCCGGACGTGTCCAACCGGGCGTCTGCTACCATTTGTATACACGAGCTCGTCGAAATGTGCTGCTCCAAAACACCCCGCCAGAAATCCTTCGTGTAGCACTGGATGAAGTCATCCTGAACATCAAGATTCTCGCCTTGGGTGACGCTGGGCGCTTCCTAGAAAGACTCCTGGACCGACCTTCGGAATCGGTAATCGAGGAATCTCTCAAACTTCTGAACCGTCTTAACGCGATTGACGACAACGAGACGCTAACTCCACTAGGTTACCACCTCGCCCGTCTACCGATGGACCCCCGTACCGGTAAAATGGTTCTCCTGTCCAGTATATTCAGCTGCACCGATCCCATCACTTCGATCGCTGCCAGCCTTTCGTTCAAGGATGCTTTCTACAAACCCTTCGGGAAGGAGAAGGAGGTGGACCGTGTTCGCCGCAGATTCGCCGAGAACTTCCACAGCGATCACCTAATGTTGGCCAACGTCATTCACCAGTGGGGTCAACTTTCCTACCGGGAGCTACCAGACTTTGCACGGCGAAATTTCCTAAACCAGACGACTCTCAATCAATTGTGCAACATGAAGCAACAGTTCTGCGAGTACTTCCATGCAGCAAAGTTTCTGCCGAATGCTCAACCGGGAGCACAAAGCAACAATCACAACTCCGGGAACGACAAACTGCTGTCGGCCATCGTCGGAGCTGGACTGTATCCAAATGTGGCTGTTGTGAGAAAGGTCATCCGCAATCGACACAATGCGGACGGGCGAGCGATTTTGGCTATTGAAGGTCAGGGCCGGGCGACCATGCATCCGTCGTCGGTGAATAGCAAGCTTGCTAACTATGACTCGAAGTAGGTATCACTCAAATATGCTGGCGATAAGCTAACATTAACTGAACTATGCATCTCGTTGACAACAGCTTCGTGGTTTACTACGACAAACAGAAGATATCGGATCTGACGATCTTCGATACGACGGTGGTGAATCCGTTTCCGTTGTTCTTCTTCGGAGACAATCACGTGGAAACGGAAGGGAGATTCGAACTGATTTCCATTGCCGGGCATTACTGGTGAGTGAGATGCTCTTTGTTTTGGTAGTAGCGCAATCTAACGACAGAAAGTGATGATTATTTAATTCTCGTCCAACAGTTTGAAGTGCAACAAGGAAACATATCAGTTGATTCAGGATCTGCGTGGTGGTTTCAATTTGTTCCTGCAGAAGAAAATCTGCGAACCGTCGCCGGTCGATTGGTCATCGGAGGAGGGAACGCTGCTGAGGTAAGTACATAATAGATTATCCAGAGTGATAGAGAGATCTACCTACGGTGGCGACTTAAATCGGCTTTCTGGTTCGTTCCTTCTTGACTAATGATGTTCCAATTAAATATCGTACCTGCTACTGTCGACGTCCAACATTTCGATTCCATTGTCAATTTATAATGGGAGCAGTGTGTTGACGGGTCCATTAATGATCACACGATGGAGATCGATAAAATAGGTATTATTAATTAACCAGAATCACCAGTACCAGAATTGAAAGAATATAGGAGATATCGGATATGTTCGCACTTTTCTTTTGCTGTGTTTAGTGAAGCATCGTTCGACCCAAGCATGCGGAAATCGCCATTCCGATCGGAAAACGAGCCGGATCAGACACCGCCGACGCTCAGTTACCATCGGAAAAGCTGCTGGCGAACAACAGCTACGCCGTTCTGGAAAATGATGATGAACAGCAGGTGGATCGGTAAAGGTCTCAAGTACTTCTCCCATGATATTGAGGCGAGCAAGCGGTTCAAGGTGGTCCTGCATGTACTTCCGGACATGACAACCGGACGAACTCAAGTCAGTCAATGTTTTAAAGATAAATCGACATGACAACACTCGCAAGTATCGTGACCAGCTGTATCTGATCCACCTTGAAAAGAATTCAACGTGCCTCAAGGTGAAAAGGGATCAGTACAAGCCCGTCCACCGTACGAAAAATTGCCATATGGCCTACCGTTGCAACGATTGCCGCTAGCAGCGCGCGCTCGGTGCCTGTGAGATGGTAGAGTACGCCGACCCAACATGCACCAATTGTGAGGCTGCTCATCGAGCAACTAGCAAGTCGTGCCCAAAACGTGCGGAATTCATTGCGATCCGCAAAAAGGGCTCCACGCAGAACCAACCAGGCCGCAAAAGGGTATCAGAGAACAATGGGCAGAACTTTCTTGCCGCCGCTTCCAATCAACAACCGCTTTGCTGCTCGTCAACTGCTGGGGTGCCCAACTGATCGTCAAAAGTATGCGGCAACCGTTGCATCCAGCACCTCCCCACCTCCGGGACTATCCAGGCGTCAGGATAATGCACCATTAGACCGATGCAACATTTGAAATTTTCGCTCCACAGTACTCAAACGGTTTCAAATCAGGTCCTGATTAGCCTCCCAAAATTTAAACTCATTTGGTAAGAAACTGACTTGGCACATACTATTCGAAGTTTATATGGAAATTACTATCGGAAAACCAAACTTTTTGTTCATTGTCTTCTACCCATTTTTTATATTGCTTTTACGAATATTTATATAACTATTCTTACGGGAAATTTTCTAAGCTACAACTTTGCGGAATATCGTTTTTCAGTCAAATGTCAAATTAAATTGTTATTAATTATTTAAGAGATTGAGATTTGGCATGATCAAGCAGCTGTTCTGTGGGCAACACTGTATTCTGCAGTGTGACATAGTAGCCATGATATTTCTAGATAGAGCTGAAATTAGGCCCTAACAGCTTTTGTAAACAATGACTTCTATTGATGATTTCTAGGAATTCAAGGCACGTCCACGCAGACCAACCTAATCATCGGATAGGGGAAGTCTTTCCCTACCCGATGAGGATGTTGGTTTGCGTGGACGAGCCTTAAATTTCTAGAAATCATCAAGAGAAGTCATTGTTTTTGTGCTCTATTCTTCGCACCAGAAACACCAATGTTGCCTGCTGAACAGTTGAATGAGCATAATTATTAGACATCATTGACTTGAATCATTAATAACTTTTGATCCTTAAGTTGTAGCTGAGAAAATTTGCTACAATCACTGTTATCATTTTTAAAAGCATAGTGATGTGGTGAATTGTTAGATAGATATGAACAAAAACATTAGTTTTCCCATAGTAATTTTCATATAAACTTGAAATGGTTTGTGCCAAGTCAGTTTCTTACTAAAGTAGTTCAAATGCGAGGGGGCCGACACATCTAACTCTCAATTGTAGATGCTCAAAAAATCTCACACTAACGAATAAATCTTCGAAAAATCTTCTTTCATTTCTCGCATCTACTTGCAAATCGCATCATCTTTTTGCAGGAAATCTTCAAAATCGTGATAAATCTTCTTTCTATCTACTCAGCGTACGAGCAGCTAGCCACAGCAAAACACAATATTTCCTGCATCGTAGATAGAGTCGTCCTCCTCGTTCAAATGTTGGGAGGCTAAGCAGGACCCGATTTGGAACCGTTTAAGCAAGTGGAGCGAAAATTTCAAATTTAGCATCAGTCTAATGCACCATCATCGAATGAACACACAGATGCTCTGTTCATAGCGGAGCAACTGATCCCCGTATTCACCCAGCTTGCCACACATTTGCACAGTTGCAAAACCCGTTACGATTTCTGGGCCTTTTCGTCATCGAGTATGGCCTCTGAGGTGTTGCAGCTAGTTAACTGGAATGCTTGCTTGCTCAAGAGCAAGAACACCGAGGTCGTTGAGTTTCTCAATGAACAAAACATCGACATTTCCATAATAACTGAAACCCACTTGAAGCCCGAATTTAACGTCTATCTTCCCGATTTCCGGGTCGTGAGGCTTGATCGCTAAGGAGAAACATCTGCTGTCGGCTGCTGCCGAGCTTTCAGCTAAAGACCATCGAAGCCATAGGGGTGGAAGTTTCTACTCCTTTCGGCCCCATCACCATCGTTGCGGTTTACTGCCCCCAAAAAAGTCAACATCAGGGCCGGGTCGACAGCAAACCTGTGACGAGATATTGTCAAGCTAGTACGACGGCGGGAAAACTTCATCATCGCTGGCGACTTGAACGCCAAACATCATGTTCGGGGCAACAGTCGGCGCAATCAAAAAGGGAACCATCCTGGATAACGACCTGCAGGAAGCGCAGTACAATATCTTGGGTCCGGATATTTCCACCCGGTTGAGTCGGTCCGGTGCTCATGTCATCATCGACATCTACATCAGCAACATGGCCCACATCTCGCCATCGGTTGTCAACTGGATCAATATCAACACTGCGTTGACCCAACCATTGACTACGATGTCCAACCGGAGACGTTGACCGGTGTCTGCAATCCTTCAAGGAGGCAATATCCCGGCCAGGGAACAACACGTGCCAGTATCCAGACAGATGAGTTACACTCTGAACCTTGACAGCCCTACCAAAGACCTCATTAGACTCCGTAACACCATTCGTAGGCAGTACCAGTGTTATGGTTTGCCTAACTTGAAGACCAATTGTAATCGATTATCGAAGATCATTCAGGCCAGGATGGTGCATTTCAGAAATAACGATTTTACCAATAAGATCCGTTCTCTCCCAGATTGTGCAAAGCCTTTCTGGAAGCTATCCAGAATCTTAAAAATAAGCCCAGACCCATTCCACCACTGAATCGTCCCGATGATTCAGTGGTTCATTTGATAACTCCTGTTGAGAGGCTGCTGTGTCATAATCTCGGACCAAACATGATTAGTCCACATGAGGCTGCTGTTGCTGAAAATGCACTTCCCCGAAGTTTCAAAGATTTCAGCTGACGAACTGTTGACCGATATTAAATCTTTAAAAAAAAATTAAGGCCCCAGGATTCGATAACATCTTGAATCGAGAGCTCAAACATATGAGTTCTAGATTATATGATTTTCAATCAGTGCCTTAGACTTGGCTACTTCCCCTCGGGCTGGAAGTTAGCTAAAGTCATACGGGAAATGGATGTAATGTCGGCCTAATGCCCCTAATATGGGCCCATAAATTCAGCAATCGACTAAATTTTCAATGGCGACCAAAAATATCGACCGTACCGTATCCATTAGTACCGTCCCAATGACGCGTTCATCTAGATAAAATTGATAAATAGCAGATTTTTAGCGATGGGCCCAATCTTAGATCCATAGGCCAACATTAGAGCCATTTCCCCCAACCTCCCCAAACCTGGGAAGGATCCTCTTCTCCCTCCAGCTTATCAGCCTTCCCTCAGGGTAATCAAAGCTTCTTGAAAAAGCAATTTACCGGCGTCTTCTAACATCTGCCGACAAAAATAAAATCTTACTTGAGGAGCAGTTTGGTTTTCAACAAGGTCGTTTGACTACTTACCAACTGACTCGAGTAAGCAATATTCTCAGGCGGAACAAGTCTGTATCTAAAACATCTGCCATGGCATTGTTAGACGTTGAAAAAGCGATGGCCTCGTGTACAAATTTTTTTTTTTTTTTTTTTTTGTAAAATATAGTTTGTTTATTTTTAGCTAATAGATATCACATTCAATTTGTAAAAAATATTACTCTTCTAAATTCAGAAGGAATTCTAGTTCACCTACATCTATTCTGTTATTAATATTTGCATTAATATAGTTGATGTATTTTATAAACAATTTAAGAATTTCATTTCTTCTGGCTGCTGCAATGTTGCCCAAGATTGGTCGTATCAACTCGGTGAAGTAAAGTCGTTGCCATCCGCCAAGAGTCGTAATTATTCTCCGTTGTACGTGCGTCCATGCTGCAGCTATACGAGGGCACTCGCAGAACTTGTGCTGTAGCGTTTCAATAGACACCATGCAGTGCTGACAATTCGAATCATTTGCACGTCCGATAATGTTCATTAGTCTGCGGTGCTCCGTCTTCTCGTTGATTAACATGTAGAGATCGCTGCGTTGGCACGACGTTAATCCTCTGGACGAAATATTTGTCCAGATTTTTTTCCAATTTTGACCTGGCTGGTTCCGTTCCACCCTTGGCAGTTCGGTTTGCTCAAGATAGAGGCGATGAATTTGATCGCTGGTGGGATTTTGTTGGATGTTGGGTGGAAGCAAAGCAGTCTGCTGAGAAAGCAGTTTGAAACAAGGAAGATCGGCAGGGGGAGGAATATTTTGGGAGAGAAGGGAACGATAAAAGGGAATGGAATCGATCTCCTGCAGGTGGCGGTTGATGAGAAGCGCTTTGCATTTGATCGCTGGCAATTGTAGCTTTAGTCCACCTTTGTCTCTGCTACGTGCCAACTGCTGCATTGGAATTCGTGCGGGCA